TGGCGCGATCGCAGCTAATCCGCTACAATGGGGTAACAGTTAATGCACAGCCCGTGGTTTGCTTGTAGACATATAAGTAACGAGTTAAATGAGTGCGCATACACACACGCACGCACAAACCCAAGATGATGTTCCAAGAGACAGTTGAACGAGTTTATGAGCAGAGTTAGCGTTAGATTGCAGTAAGAAGGAAATAATTATAAAAGATTATTGGGAAAGAGATGAGTGATACAAATAAACAACGTCAAAACGAGGCGTAAAACAAAGAAATTAAATGCCCGTGAGATTAATTGCGTTTGCTTGAAAGAGGGTGCATGACAGACCCTTATTCCCCATTGGTCGACACTGCGTTCTTCTTGTCTGTGTGAATCATCGTATGACTTCGGAATAATGGGCAGGACGCTCACCGGTGTGGTAGCAAAGGCGTTCCTTCATGTGGCGTAATTAGCGCTTGATTTTCTTACCACCGGGTGTGGAGGGGCAAATGAGTCGTCGTCCTGCCCAGGTGTCAAGCACAGCGGTTCCATTTGTATCCAGAGCTGAAGCAGATGCTGCGTTGCCAGTTGCACTGGAGCATTGCACGGGTGAGCATGTGGAAATGGGAGTTAAAGTGACCGTTGACATCTCGACACTTGTGGTCGTGATGACACTCGAGTCTGGGAGAGCGCTGGCTCAATCTAAATATGGTTCGGTAAATACGTTCAATTTATCAGAGTGGGACTCGCCAGTAGGCTGAGTCACCATTTTGGCATTTTTGCATAAATTCAACAGCACAGATTGTCGAGGCAAGTTCGGGACTGAGGATTGACGACTGAGAGATCGATTTAGCTCTGACGATATATGTCGAAGATTCGGGAAGCATTGCTGCTATGGTCACTTTCTCCGGAATATTGTTGGCAGTGCGTGTTGGAGGCGAGGCAACTGGAGCAGACGGATTTCTGACATTAGTTTTTTCTTTTATTCGACACCCGAGGTCCGTTGACTACGTGGGACCTTACGTGACGCTGTAGGTCACACATACGAACAAATGTGGCAGAACACCTGGAGCATACAAATGGACGCTCACCGATGTGCTTGCGAATGTGTACCTTCATACCACTTGGGTAGGGCTTGGTTGTCCTACAACCTGGCATCGGACACATGAGTCGTTTTCTGCCCAAGGCGTCATACACAACGGGGGCATTGTCGGCCAAAAGTGAAGCAAAACTGTACCAATCGTGACAGGTATCGTCAGAAGTAGAATCGACCGACGTCGCCATTACGGTTGGGTCCATGCTGGCAACTGAGGTACTAGGACCAGGATCTGCATCGGGGTGTGGTTCAATTATTTCGTCCGGGAAGTTGCCTTCTGCGTTGGGGGTGAAAGTAGTGGGCTTAGGCAAAATTGGCCTAAGGGTTCTTTTGAGGGGGGTGGCGGTGATTGGACGTGTCACAGGCGACGAAGTTGATGCAGACGGAGGTTGTGGATCAGTAGGTTCAGTGGAATTCGGCGGGTATGACATCTTCGCTACTGGTGAAAACTGGAGCGTAAGGTAATGCCGCTGTAAACTTTACAACAGGATAAATCTGGTCGATTTACTGTTGACCAACCGTCGTGTTCTCATTGACTATTCTGCTTTGAGCAGTCCTTTCCACAATCCGGCAAAAGTGCTATTTTACAAGATCTGAATTAGTTGAAATTGTTTAGACAGTTTTAATGGCATTTCATACCGCTAACATAAAGTATCGAAATTTTGCGTAAAATTATCGCACTTAGACCGTTTATTCAAGGTGTGGTTTTAAGTTCCTAATTCTCTGTTTCGTAAATTGACCACGAAAATATCTGATTAACGTAACTACATATATTTTAAGTACAATAGAGCAAATCAAACACAGTCATTCAAGCATAAAATTAAATCCTATTTAAAGGGGCTTCATTGC